AAAAATACCAGGACGTCTCAGGTTCAAATCTAAGGAGGAATAAAAATCCTCTTGTGGTCACGGAGGTTCAAATGTGGTGACTCCGGACTATCTGCAAAGCAGGTGGTCACCATGGGATTAGTCGGCTCGCATAGCGGGTTGGATATCCAAGTTAATAAAAATTAACCAGTTTCATAAATGGAATAACATATTGTTAATTTCAAATGTTTGTGTTTGAATGTGAATATGAGTCTGTGTTTTTCCACATGTAACATGTCTTGACGTTTTATGAGTGAAACAACATTGTATGTCCTTGTGTGTGCGTGTGTGTATCCATGAATTCTTGTGAAAATGAATTTTGTGGCACGAACGTGAGAACAAAGCAATCATCTACGTACATCTATTTACCTATTTCTATTATATGACCGAAACTTTAACGAATTTATGTATTTGAAAATGATTGAAGGTTTATAAAAGTACATGAACATAAAGATGAATTTATTGATGTGTTTTAACTGTATGTTGACGTTCTCGATTAAAGCGGTGGAGGTGGATGTTCTTGGTTAGGTTTAGGTTCGAGCGAAGATGGAGTTAGAAGTGGTGGTCAATTAGTTGGTTGGTTGCAACAGTAAATCAAAAGGTCGGATGGGAAAGGGTGTTGGGCAGTGCATGTCTATAGCGTTGGGTTCACGTGAAACCGACTTGTTTTCGTGAGACACTTGAGACAACATTTTTACACTTCATAACAAATTGTTGCGAAGGTAAAAAAAAACGAACCTTCATAGCAAAAACATTGTGAAGATTGCTGTGAAGTTTCAAGTGTAAAAATGTTGTTTCACGAAAACAACATTGTCTCATATGATCTCAAGTCTTTATGTATATATATATATATATATATATAGGGTTGGGTTCACGTGAGACCAAAGGTTTTTCGTGAGACCCGTAAGACCAATTTATGTTCGTTGATCAACTTTATAAGTTAATGATCTAACGGTCTAAATTGCACAGTGGCAATTTTGTGATTATTGAGAAATCTCGTGGCGTTTATGAATGTTTAGATTGTCATATTATAGATCTAATCCAAGGGTTGAGAATTGGTCTTACGGGTCTCACGAAAAACCATTGGTCTCACATGATCCCAAGTCTATATATATATGTGTATATATATATATATATATATATATATAGTATAATACCATTATCTATTTATCCTTATAGCATAATTTGGTAGGGTTTGCCTCTCATTCCATACTCTCCTTTTTATAATTAAAAAAATATCACTTTTTTCATTTATTTGTTTCTTAGATTATTAGATTTGGTCAAACACTTAGAAACGATTATTTTGCTCTATTACAATTTTGAATAACAAAATCACATAATATGTTTTATAATTCATTTTATTATAAATAATTATTTAATTAATGTTACACAATTACTATAAAAAGGGACCCCCAAAATCTCCTTAAAAAGGTAATTATTTAATTTTTGTAACACCTAAAAGATTCGTATTTTTTAATTTCTTATAAATAAAGCTTAATGTTAATATGTTTTTATCATATTAATATGAACATATATTTTCAGTTGTATGGTATGTTTTTTATAATTATTAATTACGTTTTAAAGTAAGGAAAAGTTCAAAAAATCCGACGAACTATTCCATTTTGAATGATTAGATTGCTGAACTGTTTTTTTAATGAAAATATTGTTGAACTTTCTCATTTTGAATTATTAGGTCCCGGAAATATTTTTTTAAATGAAAAAATCATTAAACTTTATCTTTTTGGATAAAAAAAACCATTAAACTTTATACTTTTGATTGATTAAGTTCTTGAACATTTTTTCAATAAATAAATCATCGTATTTTTAAAAATTGGTTACCTGCTACATCATTTTAACTTTAAAATATATCAGCCGACTAATCATTCAAAGTGTGAAAGTTTAATGGTTGTTTCATTCAAAAAAATAATTTAGGAACTTAATTATTTAAAGTAAGAAAATTTAACGGTTTTTTATTCAAAAAAATAGTTTATGAACTAAACCATTCAAAATAAAAAAGTTTATTGGATTTTTTTGGATTTTTTTCTTTAAAATATGCAATGGTCCTTTTAATCTATTTTTTATACTTCAAATTAAAAAAATAATAATTAAATATGATATATATATATATATATATATATAATTTTTACAAATAATACTTTAGATTAGATTGGATCATTAATGAACTATAAACAAAGTGAGATTGAGTTTGAGTTGAAAACTGTGTTGGCAGATTAAAGAGAAATAATATTTTATCTGAGATTGTGAATAAACATAGTCTAATATCTTAAAAAATAAGTTTAATGATATATATGTGAATAATCAAATATCTAACGAGTAAAGTGGAAATGGGTTAATTAAATACGTTAAAGAAAAGGAATGCGAGAGAAATTGAATTCAAAGTAAGGTGGCAGATTCATGCTTGGATAAAGTCAATGAAAACCCTTCATATTGAATGATCATAAGACTTGTTAAAAATCGAAATTCAAGATGAATTTGGCCACCATATCTTGATGTTAGTGATGTTCCAATATGCCAAATGATACATATACATATATATATATATATATATGTATACATATACATATATATATATATATATGTATATATATACATGTATGTATATATATATATATGTATATATATATACATGTAAATAGTATTTGGTGAAAGGAAAATGAACCAACCCCATGTTAAAATGGTCAATTAAGTTTCAACGTTTATGTAATTCTGTGTAATTTACGATAGTCAATACGTCTAAAAAACATGAGCGACTGAGGGGCTGTTTGGCAATTGCCGAATGGTTTGGTGCAGAATGATTAAGTGGTCAGAATGATTAAGAGGCTCTCATGATATAGTGCAAAATGAAATATAATTGTTTGGTAATTGTGTACAATGAAATCAGGGCTCTTAATGGTTAAGGGAGATCCATGATACAAAATCATTCAGAGAGTTTTAGAACCATTAAGAGGCAGATTTTTTTTTGCCAAACAAGATTCATCTCTTAACGATTCAGAGGTTACCTCTTAATGAAACTATTAAGAGATAAAACAAACAACCCCTGAATATTCGTCCATGTAATTAGGGAGATAATAATTGTTGATAAATACATTGGGAGCCAAACTACCACAACCTTTAATGGATTTAAAAGAAATAACAATATCACTTGTATCAAACTGATATAAATCATATAATAGTCTAGAACCGTTTACACGTTCTAAACCCTTTAGTGCTTTATCTTAATTCTCTCTCATATATACGTGAATGAGAGAGAGAGAGAGAGAGAGAGAGAGATTTATGGATATACATATAGAACACATGTATTGGTGAAGATGTTGACGAGAGTGAATTTAATATTCAAACCGTTCTATGTGCTATTATTAGGGGCATAATACCAACATCATAATCAGAAAATGACTTTATTTTTTTTAATAGACCAATGAGTAAGACCGGGGGCGACCTACTAAGGTCTGAGCTGACTCCCCATGCAGTCCTACTAAGGTCTGAGCGGTCTCCAATGCACTCCTTTACTCGATTTTTTGTAACAGGAAAAAATTAGCTGTCTGAGAGATGTATTCGCTTGATTTTTCCCATATCAAAGCGTGATTTTTGTAGACCATTGATCCACCCAAAGGTGGACCCAGTTCATTAGAGACAATGACTTATGGCCACCACTATGTTCTTCCTTTTTAAGCAAAAAAGTTTATACTCGTGACAGGTGCAACCGTAATATAATGTTGGGTGTCACCGTACATATTTTGAAACTACAATTAAAATAATAAAAGTTTGTCTTTGTAGGGTTGGTTTAGACGACTTTTCTCCCATCCCAAGTGTGAGTTCGGCTCCCGTTTCAATCATTTTCTTGGTTTTCAGTAGTTAATTTAAGGTTTATTATGTTTCTGAAAATAAATTAAAATAAAGGACTCATATACAAGACCTAATTTACGAAAACCAACCAACATTCCACTGATAATCTTTTGAAAAATATTCTTAACTCCATTTTATTTATAGTCAAATGGTACCATCACTCTAAAATAACTCTTAGATCTGACTCTGCATCATAAAATAAGACAAATAAGTTTAATTTAATTTAATGTAATTACAACCCTAACAAACCGAAACCAAGATTCATTCCCCCCATTGTCTTTCTTATATTACGCCCATGACTAAAAAATATTATAATATTATATATATATATATATATATATATATATATA